ATTCTCCCTTGAATAATATTATATCTTTGTGTTATATTTTGTACTGGGTACGGCTCACAATAAGTAATTGCAAGAAACGATAAAGACAAACTTTTTCGATCAACTTGGCGCACAGGCATTTACCAGAAGACACAAAACTATATCATCTAGCTGCTGAGTGTAATCGGTTTCGATACGAGTCTGAAAGGTACATTACATGTTTTTATACATCGAAAAATTTATGCATACTCACAACAGAAAACGTTTTATAGAAATTGAGGGTAAAATTGAACGCTCCCAGCAATTCTTGGTGAAGCAAAGTGCAATCATGTCATCGATCACCTTCATTTGTTCAAGATAGTTCGAAATACTGCATAACAAACTCGCATCCGTATATCCCACCCAGGGTAGGTCTGGGAGACTAATGTATCTTTATGCTAGGCACCTTGCACAAAGGAAGCTTGACTCAAATTGTTCGCGATAACAAACGCGCAGAGGTTAGATTAGTGCACTCAATTTGAATCGCAAAGAGCCTGTAAGATATTATTATTTTAGAAGTGATATGTTAATATCAAAGGTACCTATTATCTTTATACCAAACTGTATTATTCATAGCAGCACGCGTGTACAATCGATTCCACCTTTCAAAGGTGCAAAACTTCTGCAAATACGAATGTTCTGGTACTGACGTATATTCACAATAATGCAAAGTGTGATGTCAATTTCGTGAAATTGAACCGTATTGTGTTTAATACAATTGCCCCGAATGTTTATGAATTAGGTACACAAGATGACTGTACTTGCCCCGTTATACCCCCACTACGTTGCGGACCACACTAGGTATCACAAGTATGTTGTCTCGTTAAAACACTGGGCATATGTGACCGACCACTGCTCCCGAAGCTCCACTCTGCTCTCGGCGCTTTGTCGTACTTGCTCTTGAAAGCGAAAGCCCCTTTCGGCGCACTGAATCAACGGCTCAACGAGCATCCACTTTGACTTCGTGGCAAACACGCCTTAAAAAATTAACCGTAAGGATTCTGCGATGTTTTTCAATGTAAACTGCAGCGAGGCTGCCGTAGCAAAACGCTTGAAGGAGCGTACATTAGGTCACCGACCCTTTGTTCTTTACAAGAAGCAAGTATGAGCTAGCGGATTGCAATCCGCTTACCCCAAGAGTGATTATTGCCTTCCCAACGCTAATCGACTCTTCGGTTTAAATTCAAAACTGATTTTAATTTTTTTATTTTAATTTTAAAAGTTTAGATTTTCCTAAATGTACAAAATACATATAGTAAAATCTAAATACATGCATAACTACTGGCTACCTAGTCTCGTACCGTATTCTTGTTTGGGTGTGGTCACACCATGCACATCTCGTGCGACCCCCCCCCTGTTATTAAGGTTTGTGTCACCCCGTTACACCCTCCCTCATTAAGATTGAGAACATTTACAGTTCCAATCGATTATTGCCTCAACAATGCTCGCGTGTCCGTTAGACACTGCATATCAATTTGTTGGAGTTTAACAACTTCCTTGCTCAATGAGCCCTGTGTCCACGACACGAGAATCACCAAGTCTCGCTGGTTCTGACAACGAGCACGGGCAGAGCCCAACTTCGTCCCCCGCCACGCAGTGCCATGTCGGACAGTGCGTCAGTGGCACCGAGGATGTATATCATAGGCTCGATGAGCACAAATGTCGCGCTCCGCGCTTGCTTCTAGTGCCGAAAGGCCTGGTTGAGGATGTAGTCGACTATGAGTGACTACGAGTCTGACACCTCTTTTCCCGCACGGGATAACGAGGAAGGCGAGCTGCACTAGCAGCTTGATACAACCCCTGCTCACGCCTTGCGGACCCCATGTCCGCTCCCTGACTTCTCGTGAACTGAGGAACGTGGTGTAATCACCAATGACCTCCACGGGAAATAGAGGCGGCAGCTTGAAGCTGCCCATAAGGCGGCTCTAAAGTGCGCCCATCCACGGTCCGTCATTGATCTTCGTGTGGAATATGGCATCCGCCCTACGGATCCCGCTTTGGAAGTGAAAGACGCGGTAACTCGATCGTTACGCGGCCACATCATCGCCCCCCCGGCCAGAACGGATGATGAATTTGCCACACGGAAAGCTCTTCGAGCACATTTCTTGGTCCCACAAAAAATTCCATTAAACATATATCGCACTCGTCTAAGTGCACAACGAGGTGGCTCTCGTGTACCCGCAATGCGGACAATACCTGTGATACTCGCCCCAGGCGAAAGCACTACAGATGACGAAGAGCTCTTTAAGCGATGGGTGCAACGGCACCAAAACCTTTCCTCACTGCATAACGTGCAGTTGAGCCACAAGGAAGTGGACGTGCGTGTGGAGCGACACCTCCGCTTTGATTTTGCCAAACTCAAGGCACGCCGTCGACTTCCTTCGAATTTTGCCCCGCGACGTATTGATTAACCCCTAACGCTCCCGCGAGCTCTGTGTCTTCGACCGCAAAAGCTCAGGGCCACT